TAATGTTATATTTTTCGCTTCAACTGCTTGTGGAAACCTGATATGAAGGGTGCCGGATACTGTTGATTCTCCCACTCTTAAATAACCTCTTTGAAACGAAGTATTCCCTGGGTGGAAAGAGAAAAGCATTCGAGAATCGGTTTTAACATAATCTGATGGTAAAGGAGTAGAAGCCGCAAATGCTGCCATCATCGCCATGGTTATATATTTTTATACACAAGATTGAAATGATTTTGGAGGAAATCGATTTTAAAAAATTGATATTTATTAATGAGAGAATTTTGACAGAACAGAAGATAATACTTAGGAAGGAATTTGTAGTTTTATACATTTATAACGGTCTCAATCAAGTTAAAATTTCAGCCACTTTCGGAGAGATTAGAGGTTGGAAACGGATAATTTTTAACCGGTTAATTAACCGGTTAAGACATTTAACTTTTTAACCGGGAAAATTTGAAAATTTCACGTGAAATCATTATTATGATAGCCCGAGGTGAATTAATGCCAAGCGGCTAACCAACCTGACCACTTTCTGTTAATCGTAATGGCGTAACCTTATTCATTAAAGTCCGAATCCATGCAATAACCTTCAATTTCCGAACGTTAAGATTAAACAATGCTAGTGGAAAAGTTGTCTTTTCAAAATTTCTGGGAGAGGTTCACCTAAAAATATTTTCTTATATTATAATGTTCTTATTTGCAGTAGAATTTCTATAATATATTTTTTCAAGATTAGGATATAATTTACTTTAGAAATGTTATCAAAAGCGTCTGTTGAAAAAAAAAATTTTTTTTAAGTCTGCTGCGTATGGGAAATCTCGAAATGTACATGTACAATTACATCATCATATGATGCAATTTGATAACAAAAAAAAATTTAAAGAATTATCAAAAAAGGCGAAGTAAAAAGGATATTTTTGAAAGTAATTGGGTCTTTTCTTTAAAATCGACATACTTGACATATTAAATTAAACTCTTTATGTAAGTTCATTATATTATTTTTACTTTTTAAATTCGTTAAACTAGTTTCAATCAAGATACTTTGACATCCACTATCTTAAACTTTAAATAATTTTTTTATGTAAATTAATTATTTCATTTCACAATGATTTTAAAGAGGCCGTTATGAATTTTACCCATTTAAAAAGATGGTCATGTGCTAAGTAAAATAAAACAAAAACCCATTTTAGAGATTATGGTCACATTTCATTCTAAATAAAATCCATATTTTTGTGTCAAAGGAATTATGTAATTGTTAATCATGTATGATTACATTTCGATTTTTTTTAGAACATTTTTTGTGTGAATTTCAATAGTATTTATCAAGTGATTGTCAAATGATCGGAAATATGATAATGTGAAATGGGAGAAACTAAATCGCATAAAGTTTACCATGTCCGTCATAAGAAATATCCATGACGATTTTTTTTTTATTAATCGTTTTTTAGGATAAAATGATTTGATGTTCAGTACATCATTTTTATGATTTTGCCGATTGCACATGAAAGGTCAGTGACGGTGTTGTCATGTTGTGAATTATCAGTTGACGTTACCTTTTAAATTTTAATTGGCACAAAAGAAAAAAATAAAAAATCATCTAATCCGTTGTAGATTAAAGGGTTTATTGGACGGTTAGCGTCAATCTTTTAAAAGTAATTTATTAGGCGAATGATGAATCGATGAAATTTCGACCAAAGTTTGTTAATTATTGTAATTTTGGCAGATAAATTATTTTATCCAATTTTGGCCCGATTTAATATAATAAAAAAAAAAAAAATTTCCTTATTCGATTTGATTTTAAACATTGTATAAAAGTCCTTTACTTACTAATATTCAGCATTAGATATATTTTGATTACAAATCTAATGATCATTTTAGACTTGACCCAATTATTTTTTAAGAAATAAATCCATAAATTAATGATTTGTACGATCATTATAAATAGTCATAATTCTTTGTTCTCGATCAATTGAAGATTTTTAGTTTCAACTTGATGTCCTTTCTAAAACTCCAATAATTGTGTAAACTCTTACAATTGATTATCTAACTAATGCTTCCCAATGACAATGCCAATATTTGTTCTAGGAATTCCTAATTCAATTGGATCATACAAAGACCATAACTCATCATATTATCTTGTAATTAAATATTCTTCAAACTAGAAATATCATCTGCTGGCAAAATTACGTGAGCAAATAAATTACGTAACATTAAACTATCAATGCCATCTTTCGACTTATGCATAAAATTTAGTAATAAGTTTAAGTATGATGTACAGTACCATAATTGCTTAGCTGCAGCTTATTTCCAATACAAGAGGTTCAGGATATTGCTGTACAGTATATGATAAAAACAGATTAATTATTTCATGCCTACCATTCCAAGCAAATATTTTAACTCTGTTAATTCCTTATCCAATTCTTTCAAATTATCCGTCATTTTACTCCAACCAAAGTCAATCCACCACACACAAGAAGTTGAACCCTTATTCCTCCTCTTCACCATTATATTTTCTAGTCTAACGTCTCCGTGCATCACTCCCTTCGAATGTAATTCCTGTAAGCCCTTAATGGCTAACTCCTTTTCTTTTCTGGTGATGTCTCCTATCGTCGCAAAAGTTTCTTCAGCAAGAGACGTAAGAATAAAGACAAACGCTTCACAAAGAACCCCAAATTTTAAAAGAGGTCCAATGTATATCTTGATTTCACTAAGCAGTTCTTCTAGTTTATTCCCATCTTTATATAGAGCCACCTTCTTGAGAGCACCTGTTTCTCTGCCAAGTGTTGCCTCAAAGATGCACCCTGTTCGACCATATCCCAATATATGCCCGAAGGTAAAATGGTTACGATCATAGTTTTTCATATATTTAAGTAATATATTCTCCTTAATTTCTTTCTCTTTAGTTTCTTTTAACTCAGTATTATTGGTAGCATTGCTTTTAGTCTTTTTCCGAGTTCGAGAACTCACTCCTGAACCTGTGTATGATGGAAATTTACGTTTATGTTACGAGTTATAATCAGGATCCTTTTTCTTTCTCTGGTCTTTTTCACCAGATGGAGGTGGTGGAGGTGGATCTTCTTGATTGTCCGAATCCCCATCATCACTGTCATCACTATCGGTTAATGGCGGTTCAGAACCAGAAGGTGAACGTGCATATGGATTTGACGTAGATAAATCTTCAAAATATCGCAGACACTCCCAAAATGAAGCTTGATTGTTTGTGTATACCTGTCTGACTGAAACCGCAGGAGAAATACAAAGAGTTTTTTCATCTCCAACTTTGCGAAACATAAACCATGTTTGATTGAGTGTCGTAATCATGCCATATCGCCTGTCATTAACCACCATGTATACGAACGCTTGATGAACAATGTTCCTTAATTTATCGTATTTAGAATAATTATTTGTACCGCTATCCTTCTGTCCTCTTGCTACATTATATATATTGTACAATTCTCTTTCACCGCCTGAAAGTCTTTGTTCACCAATAATTTCTTGTATGATGTTGTTCAGAAGTTGATCCGACTTGACTTCAACCGTTGCTAACAAACTTACTCCATACTCATTTGTAGAACGAAGCGTTGTACTGTCTGGGGCTCCAATACATACAATATCCGGTTCTCCCTTGACAAAAGGAGCTTGATTGTGCTTGCACCACATTTGTGGGTTTGGTAGAGAAGCCAATCTTTGATCGTTGACTTTACCAACCACTTCCAAAAATAGAACTACCGTTGTGTCTTCCGAATTTATGCTTAATTGAGGGAAATTAGGCTTATAAAACTTACGATCTTCTGCATTAATTGATAACGAAGCATTGAATGCGTTGCTGAGAAAAGCGCCCCATAGTTCCACCGGGTAATTTGGCACTCTTCGCGAGGCTGATATAACTGTGGATTTCGTTTTAATCCTATTAAAAGAAAGAGCGGGAATAACAGCTCTAAAAAGTTCTTGCTCGGTGATAAGAAGATCTACGATAACGCGAATGTGTTTTGGGCGGGTTTGACGATAAGAAGCAGGAAAGAAAAGCACAAGAATAAGTAAATATTCGGTTTTATAGGATTATATAGCAGACAGGTAAATCATAGAAGATTAATAAATACTACGAAAATAACTGCAACGAAAGACGTCTGTTGAATAACACGCGAGGCGTACAAACGTTAAACTACTTTATGATAAAACTTACTTTGGTTGTTCAATTCTTTGATTAACTCCATAAGATTTGTCGCAGGACCACCCGGCATCCCCCATCTTTCAAGTTTTACATCGGTTAACTTAACAAAAGCACGACCATCTACCCTTTCCCTGCGAAAAATTGCAAAGTCTTGATCAATAAGGTTTAAGTTTTTTCATTGTAAATAATTTTCAAGTTGACTCGTATCATATCTTTCCACGTCTTCGACAGAGGGATTGGCAGTACTTGTAGACATTTTGATTTGAAAAAAAGTATAGTGAGACAAAGGTGCAGTCAGTTCAGTAAAAAGAGGATTTGGGGAGAATTTATATGAAATCTATTGTCGCACAAATCAGTCAGACGATCCATAAATTACGTCACCAAATTCAATTTTTACAAACACATGGGGTTGGTTTACAAAACCTCAACCAAGATTCGGTACATTTAATTTAAATCACAACCTACATTTGTTTCTCTTAATTTAACACAATCTCAACCATTTTTGGGAAGTCTTGATGCTTAGAAATTTTGAGTATAAGGAAAACTGGTACGGTACGACTTTGCAGGTCAGTACGACTTTCTAATATTATTGAGACCAGTACGGTATGATCATATATTTTGGAAAATTACTGTACTGATCAGACGATTCGTACTGATTTTCCTCCCGCGATCACTTTGTTTAAATTTCATTAAGGTATTTTTTTTATTTTTTTTTTTTGAAAAATTTTTTTTTTTTATTAAGAACACTAACGAACTTAGTATAGAACACTATTAATATCATTGAGATCATAACTTAGTGTATATAGAAAATTGGGGTATATAGAAAACTGGTACGGTAAAATAATAGAAAGAACGGTACTTTGTCCGAATATATGATCATAACGTACTAATAATCCTTACTCTACATAATATTAACTAGAGAACGTGAACGTGAATTTATCATTACACGTGAATTTTTTATATAATAAAAAAATCCTTTCGGAAATAAAATCGAACGCAGGAAATATTGAAAGAGACATATTTTATTAACATAAAAAGTATAACTCAAATGGACACTCATTTCTTGCAAATGTGATTAAAATTTACTGCACGAGATGTTGAATTTAATTAATGAAGTTATATATTGCAGTAATTATTTACATAAAAAAATAATTTATACTGTATAGGTTAGATAAATTATGGTGATTTTGTTAATTGGAATTGGACGACAAAAAAGTCCAATGAATTGAAACGGATCGATATGCGTTTTTTTTTATTGCGCCATCATCAATGGTAAAAATGTTTAAGGAATGTCAAGTAATATGAAACGATAATGATACAATAATGGAATAGTGTTTAAATAGTAAAATCAATTATGAATTTAGATTCTTCAAGACACCCTACAAATTTTTCTTTCATGAAAATTTATTCCTAGTCAACAAATTATATATATTAGCAAATAACGATTTTTCGATTTACTTACCACTCTCCTATTCATTTAGTTGATCTACTTTTTTTAATTAAGGACTTGATACACTAAATTGAATTCAGATTCTGAAGAATTTTTATATTATTGTCCGATTGTTGTTATTACTAGATACTGTATATTCAATTTTGTGTAACCGATTTTTGCCGATGATTCGAACTTATTTAAAGTCGTAACGATTTTTACCGCCTGTTCCAATTAATGATCCAATTGTCGGATAAACAAAACAACCGAATGACTGGATGTGACCAGGAATTAAATTCAACAAATAAAAAAGTAAAGGATCATCAATATATGAAATCGTAGAAAACAAATATTATGCTAATCATCAATTCTTGATCTTTCTTTTTATCAGATTTCTGGCGTAATCAATAGAATAAAGTTTATAAACAATTAATATAAATCATTCCAAAAAAGGTTAATTTGACAAAAAAAAAATTAACCGAATTCATGTAAAGATTTTAATTATACCATAAAAGATAATTCATTATATCTTTGTAAATCTTAATGGAACATGATGATGTAAATTTTAATAATACCATAAAAAAAAAGAAAGTTCTTGAAATAATAACATTCTATTTAATAATACCAAATAATAAATTTATTGTATAATAAAGTTCATTAAGACAAAAGTAAAGAGAACTAATTTTAATAATACCAAAAGAATATATTCTTTTAATATCCCCAAATATGTAAAATAAAAAAATTTGATACCCCTTGTGCAACAAAAATATACAATATATTATAAACAAAACAAACAGAGATCAAAATTCCTAAAATAGAAAACATTAATATTGCCAAATATTATTTAAATAATCTGGAACAAATATTAGTAGACAATTCCTGACCAGTAATTTGCAATTATAAGTTTGATCATTCATATGAAAATGTGAATAATCAAAATTATCTTTTTTATGAATCAAACTTTAAATTTTGAACGGAGCTAGTACCACTTATTTTTTTTTAAAAAAAATTAGCCGATCTAAAAAATAAAAAAAATAGATGAACGTTTCATTCAGAATTTGTTGATTTAAATCATCTTGATTACCGTTTGGTATTTAGAATATTAGAATATTCGCATTTATTGCATTCTTATTTTAAAGTTTAACTGGTTCATCTACAGAATTTGTTATAAAAAGAGCATCTAAATATCTTCCCTTCAAATCATAGAAATTTCCAAAGGAATTCTCTAATTATAGTAACCTGGATAAAATCATTTTGTCAATATTTTTTTTTTTTATTAAAAAAAATGGGCATTCCATTATTTGACAGAGAAGTAAGTTATTAACGAAATTTGCTTTCAATTTATTATTCTTTTTTTTTTTTGTAATAAGATAACTTTTTTTAGAGTGACGACATTATTTCTGATAGTATGATTGCGTTGGAAAAGTCTAGTATAAAATATAAAATTATACATGAAATGCTTCCACAATATACTTCGCGCCAAATTCGACAACGGTATAAATAAATCACAAAATTTATTTCTTTTGTGTTATCTATTTAATTAAAAATATTAATCAATTTCATGAAACTTTTAGTTATCTTAACCATCTAAATTGGCGTCGTAAGTATATTAACTTACCTTTTATTGTTTTAAATTAATTTTTGTCTAACTTCATCCTTCTTTAAACAAGTTTGCAAGAATCCATTAGGAAATGAAGAAAAGGCGTTTGTTATCAGATGGATTACAACAAATCAAACACAAACTGGTACTATACATTGGAAGCAATTAATTCTTGATTTAAACGCAAAATTTGGTTTGCTGAGATCTGAGAACACGGTCAAAAATTTCTGGTACTCAAGAATGAAACAACTTTCTCGAGCTCAGGCTAGGCAAAATGTTTCTTCAGCTCAAACCGTGGTGCCCTTTAATAATGGTGGTTTGGCTCAATATTCTAAACCTGTTGCAATGGAGCCCAATTTTCATCTTAATCCTCAAATGAGTGAACCGTATAGAATGGCCCCTCATTTTTAATTTGCTTCATTTTAAATAAAATGATGTACATTATTATCTGTTGTTTAATTTCCTTTTCTGATTTTCATTTGTAAATATACCCACCCTTTTTATTTAAATCGTGTATTTTACTGTTTACTATTTTCATTCTTAAAATTTAGCCCACTCTTTTTTTCTTATTTTTTTTTTTAAAATGTTTTAAATTGTCTTTTTTACTATTTTCTTTATTAAAACTGTGATTGTTGATGTACAATAAAGTCACGTGATGCAATAATTATCATTTCAAATAATTTTTTTTTAAGTCAAAAACAGATGTAATTTAAATTCAGTAACATTAATTCACCAGATAAAAATGTATCTCGCTGTTTATTTAAAAAAAGTTCTGGTAATATTCCTAAAGTCAAATTTACTAGTATGTTTACGAAAGTTTATATCTGATACATATTTTTTGGCCTCGGAAAATAAACTCGAAAAACTGTCTGAATATTTTTTTTTCATCTTATTTTTTGATTTATAAATAGTAGGAACATCTTTAAATTCTAATAATAAGTTATGGGAATTTTAGTTAATACTTTAACATCTTTATTTTATAAGATGACGATATCAAGTCAATAAATAATGAAGTTATAATGAGGTTATATCAATTTAAAACGTTTATTGATCATCATATTTTTTTTTAAAAAAAATAAAATAAATTTTACGCTGGCGCAGTAATAATATGTATATATATATATATATATATTTGCTAATCATAAAAACATTTTTTAATTCGTGAGCTAATTCCACGACTAATTTTCGCGCGCTCATTGTCATAAAAATTTCTACAATTATATTGATCGACAATTTACTAAGTTTCTAATTTATGAAATGACTGAAATCAATTTAATAAATTTAATGGTTACAGTAAATATATAACTATGTTAAAAAGTCCTAAAAAATTTACCGGTTCTAGAGAAGATTTTATTTTACTGGTGTTATATTTTACTTTCTAATGATAATGTATTTATTAAAAATAAATATTAATTTTTTAAATTTAGGAACCGGTCCCAACTTTGCAGTCCCATGAAAATTGTCGATCTCAGAGTTCATAAAAATTATTTTTGAAATTTATTATATAAACTTACGTTCTATAATTATTAATTTCTAAATTAACCCATTTGGGACCGTTTAATTTCTATTCGTTTATTTTTAAAAAAAAACTAGAAATTTGTCTTTTATTTATTTCGACCAAATTAAAGACATATCATATTTTTATTAATTTTCCTTTTTTGATTAATCGAATTTTTTTTTCGACAGATAATTTTAAACCATCCAACTTAAAATAATTCAAGTTTAAATTTTCTAAAGAAAATATATTGTGTAATTTATTATAAATGAATTTTAACGTTATGTATATTCAACCTCCTCTGCAAAGATGTTACTAATAAAATTGGAACTTTCGCCATTTGCAAAGTTTCTATAAATAAGTATAAAATATTAAAAGTTTTATATATAAAATTTACCTCCTTGTTTATCTGTTAATTAATACAATATTTGTTAATATTTTATTATGAATAACATGATTAAAAAAGTAATAACTTACCTTCAGTAGCATTTTTCGGCGTAGACAAATTGTTATATGTATGTAAACTACTTTTTGATGACACGTAAATAGAGCTAGAGCTTGTATTAGATTCATTAGGGTATTCATCAATACTCGTCGTATCATTTTGGTAATATGATTTTCTTATTTCTGCAACTTTATTATCAAGAGTATCAATATTAGGCCTTTTTGATGGATCAGCGTCCCAACATTGTTCAATTAATTCTATAATTCCTAATGGAGTTCTAGAAATAATTTTTGGTCTTATTCCATTTATTATCTTCATTGCAAGATTAAAATCATGATCAATACCGGCAAAAGGTGGTTGTCCAGATGAAATTTCCCACATAAGCATACTAATGCTATAAATATCCGATGCCTTAGTATTTCTTTCGCCAGAAATAACTTCAGGTGCAATGTATGGAAGATTTCCATATATACTTTGTAATGGCATATCAGCAGGTCCACAAAATCCAAAATCACTAATATACCAAGAATTAGAATATTGTTTGTATAATATATTTCCTGAATGCAAATCTCTATGAATTGCACCTTCATCATGAAGATGACGAATTGCAACGATTACGACCATGATTATATCTAACCTTTCTTTCCATGTAAGTCGGTTGTGATATTGTTGTAAATATTTTCTTAAATCTGTGCTTAACTCTATCATTACAAGGGAATAAACTTTACTTATTGGATCTTGAGTAATTCCAAAACTTTCAACAAATCCTTTCCATTTATTGCTTAATTTTAATTGAATTTCAGCCTAAAAAATTAAAAAGATATTATTGGATTGATTTTTGACGATCAGTTTTTGATATTTACTTTTAATCGATTTTTATACCTCTTCAAGCCAACTTCTATTAGCATTTTCGACATTTTCTAAACTTTTAAGTATAACTTTTTGCGATCTTCTACGTCTTACTAATTGTTTTTCGTTACTACTCCATTTATGATACCTTCCACAAATCCAATTAGCTTTATAAATTTCGGAGCATCCACCTTTAGTAAAATAATTAACATTTTTCAAATTACTATATGGAATCCATTCAATTACTTTATATGGAGCAAACGTTTCCATTTGACATTTCCGTATAATGTTATCAATTTTATCATTTCCTGACGTCCATCTCGAAAATTTTGATTTTAAGTGATTTCTAACGCAATATTCACAATATGTTATTGCCAAGCATTCTATTTTGCAGATTTCGCAAACTCTTTTCAACCCTTTGTTTAAAGTAACTTTGTAAAATTCAGTATCTTCGTTTAAAATATTTATTACTTCCGATTTTTCTTCATCTGTAAGTGAATTATCTGAAAGAAGTGCTTGACGTCTAAGATGATGCTCTTCCTCTATGTCTGTGTGTAGATTTAATGCACAAGCTCTTTTGAATGCAGCATAAACTAATTCTCTGCGAATAGAAGTCATAGTGTGATGATGGAAAATTAAAAATTTTTGATTTATTTTATTTTATATTTGAGAATGTAAGCGGTAGAAAAATCTTTTTTTTCCAAAACTACTTCATTTTTTTTCCAAATGGAAGTGATAGAATTCTTATCAAATGTTTCTGGTATAAGATTGTAGAAAAATCATTCAGGAATTCCATATGAGAGTTCGAAATTTCCAAGCAGAAAATGTTGAAGAATTCTTTCGGGAAAATATTCTCCGTGGCAGGTGATGATCATCACCCTGAGAAATACGCGGTAATTTCTGAAATCATATTTCAACTAGGTTAAATACTGTTGCAAATGGGACTGACTATGTTTGTTTTTTTTTTGTGAATTAAAATAATTATTTATTAATTATAGATGGGAGCAGAAATGTTACTTGAACTCTTATATTAGAGTGGTTCGGGTGAGAGTGTTTAACGTTAGAGCAAACAGAAATGACGAATGTGAGATATAATTTTCAAATATCTTTGTTATTATTCAAATTTATGTAGTTTTTATTTTAGACAGAAATCTCTTATTTTTATACTTTAGATGACAGTATTTCTTGATTAATCATGAATTTTAGTTGGAAACATTTGAAATAGCAGTTAATTAATCAATGTGTATGTAAGAAAAAAAATTTTGTTTTAAATTTTATTCATTTTACTAATTTTTTTTTTAAAAAGTATAATAATAGTTGGAAGGAACAAGTATGTTGGAGAAATTATAATGAATTCGAAATTATTATTTCCATCACATTTTCCAATTTCACAATCGGTATCGATAGATCCTGAGGATAATTTAACCTTATGATTTTTTTTTAAAAAAAAGTCTATTAAAAATGAATAGTTCTCTTTTATCGAATCGATTACATCATTTATTTTGTTAGATAAAGATATCATCAGAGATATTAAACACTTCATCTTCTTCGTCAATCTCGTATTCTGTTATCAAGAAAATCGATATTGGAGGAACCAACTTTTGAGGAAGATGGGTATATAAGTATAAAGCTGAACTAGTTTATCATAATGGATTGGTTGATTAAAATTATGATCAAGCTCGTCAACACATGTATTCTACAACTACGAAATTAATAAAACTCATCAAAGAAGTGATACAAAAGATTCGACTTCATCTTGGGCTAGTGTAGGTGAAGTAAGAAAACGTTGTTGGAAAAACTTGGTATATTATTAAGTCAAGTGGAGATTTATTTTAATTTTATTTTATTGACTTTTAATTATTATAATCATGTAACAATCATTAAATTAAAAAAGAGAGTGGAGAGTTTAATATTATTTACGTAATCCCGTATATTTAGTTGTGGTTTATTCTATCGTGACTAAAGATTTTTCGTTGCAGTACACAATATTTAGCGTGCGGGATTTATCTAAAGTGACAGATCATATTCTGTTTGTCATTTTCTGGAACATTAGTCTTGTATAGTCTTTAATAAAATAAATTCTGATTTTTATATAATTTGAGTTAATTATGTGGCGAGCCTTACGGTAAAAAAAATAATCAAAAAAAGTTTTTTATAATAGAGCAAAATATTTGGAAAACTTTTTTTTTTTACTTTTGATTCCATCATTATAAGTAACAACAGCAAAGTGGGATTTGAAGCCATATCAATTTTATTTGCCTTTACGCCTCTAAATATATTGATTTCAAATGATATGATATTATTATCATATTGTACAATATAGACCCAATTAGGCATGTTTTATAAAAAGTGTAATTGAAGAATTGAATTTAATTTGGTCCAAAATATTTAATTTCGGGTTTCCGTCGACATTGCAATTAATAATCGATACTACTGGGAACAGTAGTTTCTTATTTATGATCATTTTTTATTGTATATTAATTTACACACATGTTAACGTTAGAATTGTCTTATTGGCTATTTAATTATATATGAATTTGTCTACAGAATTGATTTAGTTTTTTTATTATCAAGCTGCATTATAATAAAATGATATCAAGGCAGAGACTAATAAAAGTCTAAAACTTCGAATTTCAATATGATCATGAAGGATGAGTATCTCAACATTCCGTAAGCAATTACCATCATGGGAAACGTTATGAAAGCAATTTCCATCAAGAAAACCATTTAATAAGTAAACTCTATCATCAACAACGCTTTAAAAGCAAATTCCATCATGGGAAGCGAATCCTATGCTTCGAAAATAATTTTATATTTTGAAAAATATTTATATGATTAAAAAGAGACTTATCAATTTTTTGTTTACCGAATTATCTAAAAGCAATGGTAAGTATTTTTTAATATAATAGTTTTACAATATTTCTTTTATCTCCTTCAAGTATTTTTTCTGTTCGTTGAAAGTAAGAAAAACTCTCCTTTTAAAAATAATTAAGTCTTCATAGTTCACATCAAGCCGAACAGGCTTGAAAAGTCAAACCAAATTTATATAATCATTAATACATAACGATATATTGATCGGAAAAAAGCCAACTAGGAATTGTAACTAGCGATCAATACGATCAATTTACAGAACTGTACATAATGATTATTAAAAATCAAAGATCAATTAATGTAAATAAATTCTTGTTATTTACTTTTAACTTTCAAAAATTCTTCATGAATTTATAATAGTACTTTGAAATTTTTAAAGCTGATTACAATAGTTTAATAGTTTTTGTAGGTATTCAAACTTCAATAGTTAAATCCAAAGTTTATTCAAATATAATGATAACATTTTGTTTAAACAAACTAATATTACGAATTATTTAAATTACAGACCAAGAAACTTTTATTTAATCTTAGTGTTTAAATAATTCCCGACAAAAATAATCTATGGTTACTTAAAATAAAATTATTTCAACTCCAAGCTTTGTATTAAATTGCTGAATATATTATCTTATAAATTCATTTTATTTACATAATTGTTACCTTATGGAATTTCTAATTCATCTTGATCTTCTGAATGAAGATTTGGATTATTGGATATTTCTTCAATAAAATAAATTAATTCAAATTTGTTCCGATATACATAATTCATAATATATAAACTATTAATACTTACTATCTGGAATATTAAGACTATTTTGTCCACTATCAGCTAATTTTTTTTAAATTTAATTTTAAATTATTATAAAAATTATAATTATGAATATAATTAATAAATTTTAATGAATAACTTACCTTCATCATCTTCATCATTTTTTGGTTCGGGTAAATCTTTAAAAATATGAACTTTACTATATTTGCTAATAGAGCTAGTATTTATATCGACATTTTCATTTGAATGTATACAATCAATATTAATTCCATTTTCTTCATTTTCATTTTGATGATAATATTTTACTATTTCTGCAATTTTATCATTAAGGGTATCAATATCAGATCTCTTTAATGGATCAGCATCCCAACATTGTGTCATTAAATTTGCATATTCCAATGGAGTTCCTGGTACTATTTTTGGTCTCATTCCATTCATTATTTTCATTACAAGATCATAATTATGTTCTAAACCAACAAATGGTTGTTTTCCAGATGAAATTTCCCACATAAGCATACCGATACTATAAATATCTGATTCAAAAGTATATCCTTTTCCAAATATAACTTCAGGTGCTATATAAGGAAGATTTCCATATATACTTCCTAATGGTTTATCAGCGGGGCCACAAAATCCAAAATCACTAATAACCCAAACATCATTAAATTTAGCATATAAAATATTTCCTGAATGCAAGTCTCTATGAATAGAATTTTCATGATGAAGTTGTGAAATTGCTTCACCTATGTATGAAAGTATATTGAGTCTTTGTTTCCATGTCAATTGATTATGATTTTGCTGTAAATAATGTCTTAAATCAATATCGTATAAACTCATTACAAGAAAATAATCTTTATTTATTGGATCCTGAGTAAGTCCATTACTTTGAATGAAGTTTCCCCATTTACTGCCTAAAGTTAATTGAGATTCAGCCTATAAAACAGAATAATTATTTTTTATTTAAACAAAACTTTAATTATTCATTTTTAAAATTAGTTACCTCTTCGAACCAGATTCTGTTAGCACTTTCAATATTTTCTAATCTTTTGAGTATTACACTTTCATTTCCAAATCTTATTAATTTTTGTTCGATAGAATCCCATTTGTTATAACCACCATAAATCAAATCTGCTTTATAAATTTCAGAGCATCCACCTTTAGTTAGATATTCAATATTTTGTATATTATTGTATGGGATCCATTCAACTATTTTAAATGGAATAACAGCTTGTGACTGACATTTCTGTATTAAATTATCAATTTCATTATTTCCAGATGTCCATTCTGAAAATTTTGCTTTTAAATAACTTCGAATACATTGCTCACAATATGACGTTGCTAAACATTCTAGTTTGCAGTTTTCACAAACTCTTTTTATTCCCTGATTAAGGATAATTTTTTCGTAGTCATGAGACTGACTTAATAGTCTTATTGCCTCTGATTTTTCCTCTTTTGTGAGTGATGAGTCCGTGCAAATTGTTTGTTTTATAAATTCATACTGCTTATCTAAGTCTGTATGAAGTTTATAATCAGATAATGCATATGCCCTATTATTGGTTTCTTGAAGTTCTTCGGCTAATTCTTGGTGGGAATTACAGCAAAAACCAATTCATTATTAATAGAGACCATAATAGAAAAAATAGTTTTTCAGAAAAGGAAAGATAAACGGTGTGAAAACTCCGGCTTTATACCGATAGAATATGATCGGCACTGCATGAACATTTTGATTAATCCTTGAAATATCATTGATCGCTTGAATTTCAATGTTAATTTTATTATAAACTTTATAAAGTTTAATCATCATTAGAAAAGGTAAAGAATGTTGTATCATTAACTGACAAAAATAAGATAGATATATAGTAAATGGAGCGACAAACAAATATGTAAAGTTTGCAATTATATTTTTGTATTCCATGATATTTTCTTAAATATTCCTAAAAATCTTTAAAATAAAAAACAAATGCAAGGCTTTCCATCCTATCGTATTTAATATCAAAAAGATTAGGATAATACTAATGTAATGAATATTTTATTTTTTCCCAAATAGCTTACCAAAATACTTTGTAATATAAAGTATAATTTATCAAACTTTTCTTTACTCGAAAAAAGAATTTAAGAATAAAAAAGAAATAATAAAATCAAAAAAAAAATAATTTGATCGCCATGAGTACCCGAAAGTAAAAAAAAAATTTGAAAAAAAATTTAAAAAAAAAAATTATTATTGTGACTTCCTTCATTTAAGTATGCAATTATAATTTGTATTGTTCCATGCGAGTCGATATTTTATTCATCGAGTTATTTTAAGCATGTGTAGTAACATAAGCCAATCAGTTTTACATCATATATAAAAAAAACACGAATGATCCAAATAGAACAATAGAGAAAACTGGTGCCACTGTGGATAATAGAACTAACTGTCCTTGTAGATCCTTGCGATATGGTCGATTGTGATGGTGATGCAGATATGTATTTGGGGTAAAACTTGTATTCCATGCATGAATAATTTTTTGTATATAGGATGATGACTTATATTATTTTTATAACCTTAATCGTTTCGCATGCATTTTATATTTTTTCTCAAATGAGTTTTTTTAATCTGAACTTAGCTTGAAGCTCTAAGCGGCGTCAGGAGAACATTATATATCAGGCTAAGTGCGAGCATATAAAAAAAAAATATATTTTGTAAATTGCGAAATTAATAAACTCCTATAACATATGTTTAATAAAAAAATTTTTTTGTAATAAATTATGATGAACTAGTCAGAGAAAGAGATTTATGGCAAGTTCAGCAAATAAGAAGATGGAATTAAAGAAATTCATGAAAATAATTTTTTTTAAAAAAAAAATTAAAACGTCAGAATTTCTTTATATAGTAGAGATAATGCATTGTTTCGTGTGACCTTTTTTTGTTTAAAAAAAACGTTGGAAAATATTCTTTATATTGATTCCAAAAAAATTATTTTCTAAAAAAAAAGTACATCCTCTATTTTTATTACCTTATTTCACTCCTCACATCACCCTCAAATAACCTTACTCTTTCTTCAGCCTCATGTAAAAATTTCTCAATCGTACACATTCAACACGAAATCCCTCAACAATATATTATTTGCCTCATCATTATTTTGTAATTGTTTGGCTTCTTGCCTCAAATCTCTTAAATCTCTTTCTTTCACTTGAGCAAGTGATAACTCTGTTCGTTCGTACTCTATTAAATGCTTGTCGTAACCTTCTATATGAGAGGTTGGTCAGTAGATAAGGGGAAAATCCAAAAATTTTGCTAATTTTAATTATTAAGCTAATTCTGTGCACATTACTGACATCAGTCAAGTGGTCATATAAATTTTGACCAAAATTTGGATTTCCCCTTTTCTAATAGCTAGTCGAGTAATGCGTCCTTGTCGTCTAGCAAAATATCGCCAACCGTTTTTTAAACACATTATATCATTGGGGGACGAAAAGATGGTATAGGCATTACAGTTGATCGGTCTTTGTGCATCAACAAAATACAGTAAAAGTTCTTTTTGTTTGCGAGTGTATTACAAGACATTTCTATATTCACACTTCATATATACGAGAACTCATACAATTGGTCAACCTAATCTTCCAATTCCCAAACTATTGTTGCATCGGGATATTGGTGACGAATGTAATATAAAAAAAATATGTCAAAATATGATTTTCCGTTCCGGTGTGAGTAATAATGCATCCAAATGCCAAATTATGAATATCTAAGAGAGAAATTGCATGAATGAGTATCAAATAACAACTACGGTAAAACTTTTTCGACATTATTAAAAGTCAAGATCTTTCGAAAGATTGTGTATTCTAGAGATTTTTCATCATCGTGACATTTGCCATCATGATTTGAATTTAAAATCTTAAGATTTTTGGAACGGGAAAAGATGTATGAGAAGATGTGATCCAAAAATGCTGTTGCCAAGAAAATACACATTATTTGGCAAACATAAAAATCCATCGCAATTAAATTGCTCCAATAAATCATCAATTTTCATTTAACACGTTTTCAGATGGTCGCAAATTAAATTCCAATTCTGACTCATTCATGACTTCAAATCGAGATTATCCAAATACATATTTTGTGATAAGGGGATAATAATTTTTGTTTTGGAAAGACATTTCCAGAACTACAACATTGCAAGTTCCTCTATGGTAAAAAAATAACATGAAAAAAGGAAATAATAAGTTATCAACGTAAACTAACTAGAATTCTATTACCTTGATTAATGCCCTGCCCTAATGATTAGAAAAGATGAATGCCAGTGTTGGAATTAATTACTTAGTTTTACTACAACTCAAAGACATAAAGGCTTACATTTATGCTCACTTCCATCGCCTAAGATGGATTAAAAGAAAATGTTAGTTAGGGTATCAAAGAGTGGAGCCATAATATTTTTAGAACATACCAGAATTCAAGAAAGACATTCTCAAAAAGTCAATTTTTTCTTCAGACGTTGGGCACGATTTGCAAATTAATTTTTTAACAAAGGTTTTAAAATCAATAGTTTAAAATTGTATAATAAGTTACAAATCGAATTATTTGAAATCCTTCGAGTTGGTTATCTATGGTTGGATATCATCAAAATTTTCCTTCAAATAGTTTCGAAGAGAGTACCGTCATTTGGCATATTCTCAATTAACCATAAAGGAGAATTTAATCACCATTATCAGATGATGTAAAACGTTGTGAAAATAATTTTCAATGCAAAAAAAGGTTATGAAAAATTTTCCAATATTCCGAACCTTCATAACCAATTTTTGAGACGCTTAAATGATTATAATGGTCTATCCTCATCCTCTGAATTATTGACGGTTTTTTTTTGATGTATGTACAGTAATTTTATATGCTTTTTACATAAAATGTTTTCGATAATATATCATAAACTAAAGTTTCGAATAATTACTAATCCATCTTTAAGATCGGTTCGGGACGCAGCTATCGAATAATTTTTCTTGATAATTTTTATTTTTATTTTTTTATTTTTGGTGGTTTATTTTTTTCGCTTTGGGCCGCAGCAATTGATAAAGGTGTAGGATTATTTCCTTTCATTTATTTATTTATTTATTTATTTATTTTGCACGAATACTTTGTACTAAATATTTCAAGCTTGCATTGGTACGTTTTTTTATTATTCATTAAATTATTAATATATTTTTTTTATTTGTCCAACATACAAGACTAGCTGATTCATACTAAATATGTGAAGTAAAAAAATATATAAATTGTTATCTATTGTCGGATGAAAGCCGAAATGTAAAAAGACATTAAATTTAGTAGTAAATGCCATTTTTTATAAAAGTGCTATTTATGATTTATTATTCTCATCAATATAAAATTCCAGAACAGGCGACGTATTATTTGAAGTTTATCCGATTCGAATTCACCTTTACTCCCAATATTCATATTTTTCATTGAAATGATTCAGGAAACTGTTTTTTATAAAAGAAAAATAAAATAATCTGTAACATCATCACAAAGCAATGTTGTTAAAAGAAAATGGTACTTGTCCTCTATATACTAATACCCAGGCCAGGCTGCACGACGAGGAGGACCAATTGCAACCCACAAATTTAAAATCAATTTCAGTGCCCAAAACTGGAAAGAGATCAAAGAATGATTTCCTATCAATTGCATAAAACGGAAAGAATTATTCTAACGAACAACTTAAATTGGATTCGATCACTTCGATTTCAAATTGAAGGAATCCATCTAATCAGTTAAGAATAAAATAATGGATAAGATTATAAATGTCGAAATAAAATATGAGTTAAGGATAACAGTAAAATATACTGTAAACAAAGAAATAATTTAATTAGAATAGAGGATTAAATTCAACCTTATCGTTACAATAATTTAAAAAACTTAATAAAAAGAAATGACCGTAAGGATATTCGGTTCAAAGCATGTATGTGGAAATTTAGGAAGTTGAAAAACATTGTAATAAAGATATATTTTGTTAAATGTTTTTTATATTAAAATAAATAATATAATTACAAATATTAAATAGAATGCTTTCATGATAAAAGGGCTCTTTGTATATTATAGGGACAATTCGACAGTTTTGTAAAAGGGGATAATTTTTTAAAAAATTATTTTTTTAATTAAAAAATATTTAATTACAAATATAAAATTGAACACTTTCATGCCTCTTTGTATATTGTAGGGACAATTTGGCTTCAGTCGAGGTTCTTGACGGGGATCAATAAAGCGAATAAGTTCTTTCAAGGAACAGGACCATTTGCAACGGGATCGATAAGAACGGATGGTTTATACCTACCATTTGCAATGGTTGATAAGAACGGATCGTTTCGTTCCAAGGATCACACCCACTTATGGGATCGATAAATCGGATATTTTCTTAGAAAGATCTCGACCATTTACAACAGGATCAATAAAACCTGATATCTTCCTCCAAGAATATTGACCACTTGAAGGAATCGATAGGAACAGATAGTTCTTCCAAGAATTACGACCGATTTATAAAATAGATACATAGGATATCATCACGACCTTGATAAAAATGGATAATCTTCTTTAAAGGTCACAAAATCTTGACAGAGAATTTGATCGAGCTTCAACCATGGATCATGACGCCTTGACGAGCCGTTATAAACTGATCCTTCATCAAAGGTCTGAGACATCTTCTAAACCAAAGATCATGTCTCGCAATAGTTTGAGTAAATCTAAGAAAAATTATAAAATTAACAGGTATTCAAGGAAATATAGTTAGATGAGCAACTCGGCAAAAAAAAAAACTTGGTCTGATCAATAAAGAAGATGACCGAATTGACATTATTCACAATACAAGATCAAAATTAATTTCTAAAATAGTCATTTTAAAATAAACGATATAAAGATGATTATCCAAGAAGCATGAATTAATTACCTTCATAAGCCATGATACCATCAAAAAACAATTAAAGGACCATTTCTTCATTATAGGCTTCGTTCATCCTATTACCTTTAAACTTGACAAGTTTATTGAAATAAAAACAAGTATACGATTTTCAAATAATGTTTCCATTAAATTGATGGCGTTTATCGCGGTTCTTAATATATGGCCAGTGTTTTAATATAAAATTTGAAATTAATAATTATATTCTGGTAAACATTTAACGAAAAATAAAAGAAACATAAAAGTTTTTCTTAATAGGATTATTTCCAACCGAAGAATAAAAGGGGGGGAACCTATTTCTAAGAAAATAGAAATGCTAAAAATAAAAAAATTTCATTTAAGGGAAGAATATCGGGGAATTTCTATATTTAATGAGTAAATGCCATTGATCTGTCTCTTCGAACCCATCTAACAATACCATACCCAGAGGACAAGTTGACTAGAGGATATTTTGTCCCGTAGTCAATTTACACTGATTTCCAGATCACTCACTACCCACTAATTAAATTGAACTGCGCAGAATTTTGAATCAATTGATTATTTTAGTTATGGTGAAAATACCCTATATTTAACCTCAATGAAACTCAAAGATTTCCTCCGTAGAACAAATTTTTTAATTAATTCATAAACTTTAATTTCAAAAAAAAAGGATTTGAAAATTTTTAATATAGATTTATACAAGAAGTGTATACATATAAAGTTGCTGGCTGTTTTTAACTCTTTTTTTAAAAATTCCAAGTAAATTTTTAAATATAAGAATTCTCAGAAGTTTCCATCATGGATTAATAACGTAAATTAGTAACGTGCTTTTTAACACGTGACGCAAAAAAATTATTTAATGCTTGTTTTGTAGAAACGTTTTTTTGTAAGGATTTAATTAATATTGGTAAGAAAATGTAAATAGAGTAGTTACAATGTAGATCTTTGCGTTATAAAAAAAAACTAGGGCCGGAGAAGTATGAATAAAGAAATAAAACATTTTTCTCCTAAATACGATTAACAAAAATATTTTAAAGACAATACACGATCAAAAAAGAATTTGCGTAGCATAAAAGTTTAAAACGAATATAAAATAGGAATATTCGATAGAATGTTAAGAATAGATAAAAAAAATTAAATTTTACAAAGTTGTTTAAGAAGAAATTCTTGATGACAGTATAAGTGATTTTAAGATGATTTTGAAGAAATTAAAAAAAAATTATAGAATAAAAATTAAAAAGCGAAAATTGGAAAAAAAAGGGATTATTGACCCCATCATTAACGTTTCGCAAGCTTTTATCCTGAGAAAAAAAACTGATTTAGTCAACGAAGATATGGACTTTTAACAATCAAATATACAAAAAAAAATACATACCTCTAATTAAAATGGAATTCTGTTTTTACTAACCGCGATTATAGAATCAACATGTAATAATCCTTAGTATTCATTAAGGCATTAAAACCCTTCCCTTTCGTTACATCCACTAATAAAATTGTACAGTAAAAAAAAAAATAACTGTGAGATATAACATAATAGTAATAAATTTTTACAACATAATTAAAATAGTTACGTTAGAGAATGTTTCGGGCGAAACTTCAAATTTGAGAAATGGTTTCGCCCGAAACACTAATCCACCACCAAAATATTATTATAAAAATTAAAATTGGGATAAAATATTTTAACAGATTAAGAGAAGGAAGTTGCCGAGGGATGTTTTCCCATTTTAAATCTTCGATATCTTCTCGTAATTTGTATTGCGATATACGGCGTCAATAACTTTAGAGTTTCTATAAGAGGTTCTGTCTTCGGGCGTTTTCAGATTCTTCTAATCTCTTGCGAAGTTTAGCATGTTCATCCATATTTTTTCTATGTTCCTTCATTTTTTCTCGATAAATTCTCGCCCTTTCGGCGTATTTTCTTGAACTTTTTTTGAAGGTCTGGACATTTTATGAAATTTGTATAATAAAAAATTGGTAATATATTTTAATTTTCTTATTATTTAATAATTTCTGATAAATTAAAGTATTGTTATATGAAGCGTTAGGATTTAAAAAAGTGTTTGAGATTAAAAATTGTCGTGCGTTGATTTTTTTTTTTTAAAAAAAAAGAAAAATATTGGAAGGGCCAGAAATTATGTCATTTTAAAAGGGGGAGGAGGGTTCAATTCATGATGACGTTAAAGGGGAGGGTAAATTTTTAATTACGTAATTTCTGGCCCTTCCCTTATACATAATATCTGGGATATTACCAAAAATGGATCCTAACCATAACTGAAGCGAAACTTAAATATAAAACCAATAAATTCTAAACCCTCCGATACTTTCTAAAACTAATCTTTACTAAAATATTAATATTCCATTTCACTAATACTACGTAATTTACAAAATCTTTAATTAAGGGCGTTTCCCTCAATGGGTTTATAAATGATCTGATTGGCTAAAAAAAATAAAGCATGATTATCATAATAATACCGGGAGCTAAAAACATCTTTTTTTTTTTTTTTTGATAGAGCTGCGTTGATAGGATAAAAAATTTCATTTATGGAATATTAAAAGAAATCGCTCAAACAAACTCTCTCATTTATTGTATTATGAATCTTCCACGGGACCATCACTATCGTAAGTTGATCACAACCCCCCCCCCCACTTTTTATGATAGTTGCAGATTATTGTTGTTGTTGTTGCATGAATGATAATTACTTGTTAAATTAGTAAAAGGAGCCGGAGCTAAAGAACTGCGAGCTATTTTGGTATTCTTTTTATTCATAATGAAATTGATAGAAAGATAAAAAAGAGGTTGATCAACCATTTATAACACTGTTCGGATCAGATTGATTGAAAATTAAGGTCTTGTATGGTTGTTCAGGAGGTCGATCAATGTGAACAAAATTTTGTTGTTCACCTTGATCGATCTTTTAAACATGTCTTGTAAATAAACTAGGAAACGGAAACCGTTATGACTCATTTATCAAAATCTTACTTGCTATTCGTAGAGTTGCAGTTTAGGGTTTTATTAGTCAGAAAAATTTTCAATACACAATAAAAATAAATAAAAATTATAATAATTTAATCTATTGGTGACGCGTACAGATAACAGATATTGTCACGTGATCTTAATTTTTTCGATCTGATCAATTAAAAATTAGAAAATTTGTGCTCAATTGTAACTTCGATATGATTGGTTACATATTTTTTCAGTTTATTCAGTAGTAAACTAGCCAAACCTAAAAATGCAAGATCCAGCAAAAAATTTTACTATAAGCTGTTATGTGATATTTCAGGCCTGGTTTATGTAATGCTAGTCACAAAGTATACTAAAATTTCGGGTGATATTATTTATAAAAAATAAAGTCTACGTAATGTTCAAGCAAAATAATCTAAATAGTAATTACTGATTATTTTTATTTTGCTTTCTTTCTTTTTTTCTTACGATAAATAAATATTATTTTTTAAAGACAGAAGCGTTTTTTTGTGTATATTCTATTTTATTATTTGGCAATATATAAAGAAAATTCATAAAGTTAAATGTTTTATTAAAAATTTCAATTATTTATTTTTGCTTTATTGAAATTTTATATATTACTCATATAATTAATTTATTTCAGATATGTGATTTAGTTTCAGAATTAATCTGATATGAATTCTCTCAAATGCATTTCTTTAAAATGAAGTATTCTCTCATTATTATAATAGAAGAAAAGAAAAATCGTTAATTGAGGAATTTTGATATTTATATTTAATTTTTTTAGGTTATTTACAGCTAATATTAGCTCGTAGCGTCTAAATACAAACAATTTTTTAGTATCAAATTTATCAATTACATATAAAATATATAAAATCATATAATTTTAAAATACCAAATTTACAAAATTTATATAGATTATATGGAACCTTTGCAATAAAAAGGGAAACTGCCAGGAAAAATTAATTTTACTTCATATATTTCATATGATTTTTAGGCTGAAATATGTTCGAATTTAGCATTAACGCATTTTTGATTTTTCTGCCAATTTCTCTCCTTTTTATTACAAAGGCCCTATATGATCAAAATTTTATTATTTTATATTTTATTAAATGATAAATATGTAATATTTAAGAAAATTCTTCAAAAATTAATTAAGGGTTAGTATAATGTCTTTTATACTTTAAACTGTATATTCCGCTTGTTTTATATTAAATCTTTTCTATAAGTATCTATATATCTAAAAACTTTTATGCATAACCTCGAATTGTTTTTGAAAATTAAATCTATACTTCTAGTACTATTATTTTGTAATTTACCAAGTACAATTATAATTCTTCTTGTATATCATTTTACATTTCCCTAATAAATCTTAATAAAATTGAATTTACAATAAAATTTAGGATAAAAATAACTTTACAACCTACCTAATTTTTCAATTATTTCATGAATTAAACAAGATTAATTACAAAAATCTTCTTATTTTTCAAAATATGCTGTATACAACAATTTTTAACAATATATTATTTTTGTAAATACTAATTAAACTTTCTTTCTATAATTCTCTTTCTTGTAAAATTATTCGCATACTTTTTATCTTTTCTTATAATTCATAATTTCTGGAAAATTCATATGTTATATTTAATTATTAAAATTTGTATCTCGCATTTTTAATTGTTTTTCATTAGGATTTACATTTATTATTTTTGCATTAAGAGCATCTAAAGCATAAGCACCATATAAAGAATAATTGTCAAAAGCAAATATGATAATAGCTCTAGGATATATTAGCTCAAAAATAGAAT